GGTAGGGGGAAAAAACAATTTTTAAGGGTGCCTAGGGATTTAGTTATTTTTCACAATATAGTATGCCATTATTTGTATAAAATAATATCCTCCTGTAAGTGGAGTACAAATATAATCATTTTAGATCGTATTGTGAGATGAATAATTTGTTCCTAAACTGTAAGAAAGTATGTCGACATGACTCTGCTAATTATTTTGGGCCCCAGCCAGAGTAATGTATTAAAAACGTTGGCCCAAAAATACATGTTTATGAGCCTATGTTCGTACAATAGGCTCATCTACTAATGTTCACATGTCCCTGGGGTTACCTAGTTAGATTTATTCAGTTGTAGTAGAGGCCAATGATACTCATCAAGTAGGTGTGAGCCAGGATGGCGCATATAAGTATGTGTAGTCACAGTAGTGGTATAGTGAGTGGCACTTTCATACATACGCAGATGAACAGTTGAGCCTTGCTGTGTGGCCAGGCTACACGCAGTAAGCTCATACTAATGCTTGTTAGTGTTTGTCGGAATGGAAACAAACATGGCTTGTCTGCATAGACCCGCATGCTCTCAATCTGTACATACGGACACATGGTGTTTACCTCTTGTGCAGTGCTGAACAAGAACTTTTGAGCTGAGCTGTATAACTTTGAGCTTTGCCAGAGCTTCTGCTGGTGGGCATTTACACCATGTCATCAGTGCTGCTACATATGATGGTAAATATACTGTCTTGAGCACACTACCCGACAGTGTATGTGTAAAATGGGACCAATTAATGGAATGTGTGGTTGTTCATTTTGGTTCAAATACATTTCGTCTTGAAACTGTGTACAAAAATATATCATACCATAAAAATCTTGTAATTAGGCTTGTGGGTTGTGGAACTCCTCTAATTCCTAACAATATTGGAAGTATATTTTGTTTTTTTTTGTTTGCATGTGTGTGTGTGTGTGTGGCGTGCGTGCGTGGGTGTGTTGGGTGGGGGGAGGGGGGGGTGTTTTGCCCCCCTACAAGCGGATTTAGCATGTGTACATAGGAGATTAGCATGTGTAATCAACTAGGGTGCCGGGCAGTGGCTCTTATGGCTAAAGACGTTTTTATTCATGACTCAACTTTTCGTGAACATAAAAAACAGCTAAGCAGCCAACTAATGTAAGATTTGTTCCTTGATGGCGGTAAACAGTAGAAGACATACATCAGGAGTAGATAAAGGAAGAGTGTGACTTCAATCAAACAAGGGAAATTCGTCATTTACTAGCCTTATAAATACGCTAACGATTTACTACACGTAACTCATCCACAACTTCGAGCTCAAATTGCTAACACAGCTACACTACTCGCACCTAGCATCGTGCGAAATCGTTTCCTCGTATACACCAGCAATCTGGAGATACAGACTAAAACGTACGACACGGTTATCCATTCTTTGGCCATCAATCCGAACGTATTCCCCGCCGAACTTGCAAACAAAAGGCAGCTACTAACGCACTGTGGCTCACTCGGCGAGGCGTGTGGCTCGCAGGGAGATTGCGGTGGGCGTGCGTGCGTGGGGGGCATACCAGCTGTATGCCGGTATGTAGCTGTGTGCCGGGTCAAAGGTTATCTCGCCGAGTGTTGCGTCGATGTCCAATCTCCCAGCGAGCCACACCGCCTTGCCGAGTGAGCCACAGTGCGTTAGTATGGCCCCCTGTCGTATGTTGATCCCTGTCGTGCAGTGTGCTGTGTTTTGCTTAATTGTTCAATGAATGACGCACTCGTTCACTTCCGACAGCGAGTGAAAATGCGGAAAATTTTCCTCTTCGATGCGAAATGCATCAGCCGGGCATTCCATTATTTACGAAAAGTAAATAGGCTGGGGAACGACACTAGGTGCAGGAACTGGTAACGTCGGTCACGCCCCATTCATGTCCATCAAAGAAGAAGGCGGGGCTTATTCTGATTACGGAGATGGAAAAATGCAACAGAAGGACCTAGCGCGGTGCGCTAAACAGCGTGTTATTTTCGTATTTGTGCCAAACTCTATCCTAGGAAACCGTTCTAGCCTAGCAGAATGCCCTAGTTCCTGAGATCGGCGATTTGGTGCTCTAATGGTATTATACCTAGAAATTATAATAGAGAGGTGCGACGTAGACTGTGATTGGAAGACACAAAGTGTCAATCCTCGGCGCGCCTTGGCATCATGGCCGCATCACATCTAGTGACTATAGACAAAGACAGGAAAGTAGCAATGCCATAATAAAAATATTGTTTGTTTGCCCTCACCTGACCAACCCGCCAAAAAGGGGCTGACTCAAAAATTTTATTGTTCTTTCCCATTCTTTTTTTTACAAATTGTATAACTGTACATTATATAAATCTGTAGGCAATACATTATATGTACCAAGCAAAACCAACATTCAACATAAAGGTTTTTTCCCCCCAGGCCCCCCGGGGCTTTTGGCCCCCTTGTTGATTTTTTAAAAGGCCCCCCTCAAAAAAAGCCTACCTACCTATCCAAACCTTTCAGCCTGGGTTCGGGTGAGGGCAAACAAAGATTTATTTAATTGTAACCCTAGGCATTTCCCCGCATTGGTTGGGACAACTTACATACATGTATGCATAACGAACATCAGTGGTTCCCCTGGCCAAAAAGGTCTGTGAGGTGGTAAATTTTTTTGTGTGTTTGTGCATTTCAAGGTCGTAGTAAAGCCAGCACCGTAGCTGCTCGTGCAAAATGTTTGAAAAAATGGTGCAATTGGGTGCATTCTAAGCTTTATTTTGATTTTAGTTCAATAAAGTGTAGTTTATTGATGGAAGAACAGTGATTTTCGTCAGCAAGGCGGTGTTTTGGACAAATTTCTGTGTGGCGGCTGAGAGTTTGAGCGAGGCCCGCCTCTCTCGTATCAATGCAGGGGAAACACTGAATATCATGGCAGTTGATGAAACGTTATAATGGGAGGTAACTCTAGCTGTAGCATGCGAGTATATAGTAGCATAGTATCAGGAGCCCATTGTCAGAAACAAAATTAGTCTTAGCATTAGTCTTAACAATAACATTTTCTCGTAGACCGTCTACAGCGCTTTGTTTCGTATTGTTCTCAGGAAATCTGCTACGATTTTTCATTCAGGTTCCTTCGGCTGATAGGGTCTATGTCCCCCAGGGTACTGCCGGAACGTACCCTGGGTACGGTCCGGTATACCGGAACAGACCCTGGTACTAAATACTACTATCTAATATGCCGGACCGTACCTCGCCTACTCCACTAACGAGTCTAGGGAGTCGCCTACGCCTACTCCCTAACCCTAACCCTAACTCTAACTCTAACCCTAACACTAACCCTACCCCTAACCATATCAGCTAGATAGTTACCAGGGTACGTTCCGGCAGTACCCTGGAGGACATAGACCCTATCAGCCTTACTTCGCAGCGTTTCTGTCGGCGGTCTAAGAGAAAAAGTTTATGTTAAGACTAATGTTAAGATTAATTATGTTTCTGACAACGGGCCCCAGAATAGTATCTTGATAGCATATTTGGCGTAATTGGCCACGTGAGAAAGCGACGTTAGTGCCGACGGATATTAATATGCCGGACCGTACCTCGCCTACTCCACTAACGAGTCTAGGGAGTCGCCTACGCCTACTCCCTAACCCTAACCCTAACTCTAACTCTAACACTAACCCTAACCCTAACCCTACCCCTAACCATATCAGCTAGATAGTTACCAGGGTACGTTCCGGCAGTACCCTGGGGGACATAGACCCTATCAGCCTTACTTCGCAGCGTTTCTGTCGGCGGTCTAAGAGAAAAAGTTTATGTTAAGACTAAAGTTAAGATTAATTATGTTTCTGACAGCGGGCCCCAGAATAGTATCTTGATAGCATATTTGGCGTAATTGGCCACGTGAGAAAGCGACGTTAGTGCCGACGGATATGCACGGTTTTTGCACACATAACAGCCGCTAATGAACTGCTACACAACTCGTAAGAATTGTATATAGTACACCGGATGCGTGTGGGGCAGGCACATACTCATGATACTGCGTATATATACAAATGTTGTAAATGCGACATTAGCATAGTAATGGACGGCATAACATTAGGCTGGACCTCATTGTATTCAGCGGTGCTCCTGTCCGTTGGGTGAGGCCAGCCTCAACGCTGTAAAAGGGGTCAGGGTCTCTTTTGGCTAGCACGATGCCTTGAGTGTGGGACTATTCTCTCAGTTCCATTCTGGTCAATCGCACCTTTATTTTTGTTGAATAAAGATACAACGTAGTCCCGTAATTCTTCTGTAATTCCTGGTAATTTGCCTTGTCACTCTTTCGCTTAGCGTTACAACTATAGACTCTATTCTTTTGTGCCAGCGTATCTCTAAATGAGATGTGTATGTGACTCACGCATGAATGGGGCGTGATCGACGTTACCAGTTCCTGGACCTACTGTCGTTCCCCAGCCTATTTACTTTTCGTAAATAATGAAATGCCCGGCCGATGCATTTCGCATCAAACAGGAAAATTTTCCGCATTTTCACTCGCTGTCGGAAGTGAACGAGTGCGTCATTCCAATAAACAAACGTAGTAAGAAAATGGAAAAAATATTTCAATATTTATTCAATATGTTATTCAATATTTGCACGCGAAACACAAGCAATGTCAGCTACTCCTCTGGTACGTAATAAACAGTACCTTAGTACGCAACAACAGTTACAACTGTAGTTCCTGCATTATTATGGCCTCCCATGAGATTTTAGTTCATCACCAAAATAGCATCGGTTAAAACGCGTGTGGCGCATCTGTTATGTGCTCAATTAAAGCTAGGAGCTACTGAAATTGCAGGCCTTGAAGCATCAGTGCTGCATAGCGATACTTACTTTGCACTTCTTTAACAAGGTTTATCTGTATAAGCACATTGTGGTATATCATATGTATTACTAAATAGGATAGATTACGATGCACAATGTAAGAGAAAATGCGGAAGTCCCAGCTCATAGCAAATAGACCCACTGTTAACATGTTAATTTTTCTCCATTTTTCAGCTCCTGAGGTATTAGGACCTGAACACTATGATAAGTCCTGTGACATGTGGTCACTTGGAGTCATTACATATATACTGTGAGTGTGAGCATTAGTGAGAGAGAGAGTGTTGAGTTGACATTGGTGTAAGCATTCTAGCATCTGCTCTGCCAACTTACACATAATTAAAGGTAGTATCCTGTGACGCACAAGCGTTTCTTTGTGCGTGTGAGGGACCACGCGCGTGTGCGTGTGGGGTTAAAGTAGATAACCCTCGCAACAAAAAGCCTACATACACCTACTGTGAGCATACTTGCAGTATGCAACATCTCAAAATGTTCTTATTAAGCCAGAAATTTGCTCACAGTAGGTATATCTATACGCATTTTGCTGCGAGAACAAGCCGTTTTAAACACTCGTATCCATCACAACCTAAGAGGACCCAAAATCAGGCATTTCAGTCAAATTTATTGTAGCCTTAGTATCGTGTAGCGTGGAGACTATCTCCTAGTCACACTTTCTTTTAAACATAAGCAGAAGGTTTGCGACCGGCAAAATTAATGGTCTCCTCACTGCTTTGCAGGCTATGCGGATACCCTCCATTCTATAGCGCGCACGGTGCTCCCATCTCTCCAGGAATGAAGAAGCGCATCCGTACCGGCCAGTATGACTTCCCGGAGCAGGACTGGAGGAACATATCAAAGCCTGGTGAATATAACTTGGGTGCTGTGTAGTGTTGGAGATCGGTCAAAATTTCACGATCGATCATCGGTTTTACAAAACGACCGATGATCGATTAATCATCGATCATTTTAGATTTCGGCGCCGACGCGGTGACGCAGCGTCATCGTCGACACAACCGGTGTATTGCGAAAGATTATTGACATTATTGTATGTGTAGCTAGTATTTAATGGTAAGTAAATTAAGGATACGGTTAGAGTTACGGACGGGTAACACTCTAAAGGGCATTGCAACATAACTGCTCATCAAATTCAATAAAAAAAATTTAAAAAAAGTTTGAGTTGCACTCGGTCGTCCGATTTTCTACTCGATTAATCAACTTGGCAGCCCAAACGAGTAATGATCGATGAACTCGATTAATCGGAACACCACTAGTGCTGTGTACATAGTTCAGGGTCCGGTGTCAGAAACAAAATTCTTAACATTAGTCTTTCCATTAACTTCGCTAATTTTGCGCACTCATGCCTGAGCAAGATAAACCACACCTCGATTGAATGCTGGTGTTACCCTAGTATAAATATAATTTTATGTTGCCATTATATCCTAGTCTGAAACCAGCAAAATTAAAATTCAGTTATGGGGCAGCACAGTTGTACGGTGTCATGACAGCCAAAAACTTGTGATTTTGAAAACTCGTTGATGTTTACTGACATAGGTGAATGTCTGATAACTGAAGTTTGTAGGTATATAGTATTTTTTACAAGTATCACAATATATTCTCAATGGCTGCAGTATCGGTCTTCTTTAACTGATTAGAAACTGTCGGAGATACGTTGCATCTGTGGTGGGTGGTGACATAAGGGTTTCTGCTCGATCTCCACAGCCAAGGATCTCATCAAAGGTTTACTGAAGACAAACCCCTCTGAGCGATTTACGATCCTAGAAGTGATGCACAGCAAATGGGTTGCGGTGAGTTAGCATCATGATTCAGTTGGCGCATATCTCTAACGTGGGAGAATCACAATTGCAATGGACTTGGTTAACCACTGTTCATAACTGTTATCATTGTTTTGTTATCATCGTCACTGTTGCCATCATCACTTTAATATCATCAGAAGTAGATAATAGGGAATAGAGGTGCACGTTATTACAGGTATACCGCGGTACGTGACCTGTACTTTGTACTTTGTATGCGGTACTTTGTACTTTGTTTGCGGTACTTTGTGTGGTGTAGTGGTGTACCGGCTTTTTTTAGCTATTTTTATCACAAATTTTATTTCACTTCCTTGTCATTGCATAGCTTTATAAATTCATCTCCGTCGATCGACACCATTCACGCTATATTCGCGTATCTCCAGCACCTATTCTATATGCCTAGTAGATAGTCTGCGCTGTTTTATTTGTACATACTTCATTACTTCAGACGGGTTCTAGCCGTACGACACTCCTACTCTCGCTCATGTTTGTTCCAAAGGAATTACAAGATATAGCAGATTACAAGAATAACGCGACGCGGCGACTGCCAGGCGTTTTTCTATGAGCGCGGCAGCGGTGCCTTTGATAGGAGAACGTCTAAAGCCCGCCACGAGTCTTTGACCTTAGAATACCTACGATTTACTACGCGTAACTCAACCAACTTGAGCTCAAATCGTACACCGTACATTCGCCTAGCATCGTGCGAAATCGTTTCCTTGTATACACCCGCAATCTGGAGATACAGACTAAAACGTACGACACGATTCTCTATTCTGTTGCCAGCAAAACGAATCCATAACCCGCCTAACTTGAAACAATAGGCCCGCAAAATATTCGTTTCAGTATTCGCATTTCTTCTGGAAATTGTATGTATTGTATGTATTGTGTGTAATTATGCAACATGCAGGTTGATAGCACTGTTGTGCCCGTTGGTGGTGTACATTTGGAAAGATTTCTCTCAGATCATGAATATTTGAATGATATGAAAATGAATATGAAAATGAAAATATGAATATATGAAAAAGGAAAAAGAAAAATATAGTCAAACATAGCATACATTTTTATTGGATTGCGATGTTTTGAGGTTTCGTCTATGTGATGTGGTAACTTGACAGAGTGTATGTATTACGACATCAGTTGGCTAAAAGTCAGGGTACGGTGGTACAATGCATGGTACGCAGCGACATATCGTATAGTACCCCGAGGTACTTTCCGATATATCGAACCGTACCTAGGGTACCCTCCGATAGTACCCTGGGGGACATAGACCCTATCAGCGCAACGACTCTTGCGCACTCTTGTGCCCTCGGCGATGCGGTGTGGCTCGCTGGGAGATTGGACAGCGACGCAACACTCGGCGAGCTAATCTTTGACCTATTTACAGCTGGTATGCCCCCCACGCACGCACGCCTAGCGCAATCAGCAGTAGCTCCAGCTCCAATCTCCCAGCGAGCCACATAGCATTGCCGAGGGCACAAGAGTGCGCAAGAGTCGTTAGTAGCTGCCTATTGTTTCAAGTTAGGCGGGTTATGGAGTCGATTTGCTGGAAACAGAATGGAGAATCGTGTCGAACGTTTTAGTCTGTATCTCCGGATTGCGGGTGTATACGAGGAAACGATTTCGCACGATGCTAGGCGAATGTACTGTGTACGATTTGAGCTGAAGTTGGTTGAGTTACGCGTAGTAAATCTTAGGTATTCTAAGGCTAGTAAATTTCTCTTGTTTATTGAACACTCCTTCCCTATTATCTACTATTATCAATTATTGCTGAAAGGTAATAAACCTGAATAAAAAAAAATATCCTAAACACATGCATCCTGGCTCGGAAATGAAGTGATTATTTTGTTGCTTTTCTGTTCTGTATAGGAACATACAATGGTGCCAGCAACACCTCTAATTGCTCCCAAAATTCTGAAGGAGGAGGCAGAGCAGTGGCCAGAAGTTCAGGTAAGAGTAGGCGTTGTGTGCGCGCGTGCGTGTGTGTGTGTGCCAGTGTTGTAGGTCTCGAGGCCGGTCTTGGCCTCGAGATCGGCCTCGAGACCGTTTTCCTTGGTCTCGGTCTCGGTCTTGGCCTCGGAGTGCAATGACTCGGACTCGGACTCAGACTCGAGGACTCGGGTTGAGGCCACTACATACATAGTACACAACTGTACATATTGTAACACGCAGTTTACAAGAATTTAAAACTAAAACTCCTAGGTTTTCTAGATACACGGCCTAATCTTTGAACGTTTTCAATGGCTCGATTAAGATTCTTGTCCTTTTGGTTTGAATCTGCTGTCACTTCGTCCTTTTGCGCTTTTTCTACCACTTTTTTCTCTTCTTCTACCACTTCGAAGGTACTAGCACTCTCTCTCTCTCATTTGGTTCAACAAGCCGTGTCATGATTCTCGTAAAACACAAATGGATCCGTTACTTTGACACGTTTCGTATGACTCGTGTTTCTGTGTTTTCGGCTGACTATACACTTTCGAATGTCTACGATGGCATGCACTGTTGCGATTTTTTTCCTTTTTTCCAACTTTCCCCCTTTTTTCCCGATTTTTTCCCTTTTTCAGATTTTTTCCCTATTTTTAATCGTGCGTGTGGCGGTGTCAACCAGCAGAAACTTGCAGTGGATCAAGTTGAGAGTCGGTGTTAGTAAAAGCGGAGGGAAGTAGTTAATCGTAGGTGATGATCGAGCTTGTTGTTTTCGTCACCAGGAGGAGCTGACGAGCGCGCTAAACACAATGCGGGTCGACTACGACACCATTCCCATCAAGGATCTCAGCAATTCATCCAACCGCTTGCTCAAGAAACGCCAGATGAGGAAAAAGATGCAGGGCGGTGTTGGACCTGCAGGTATGCACACAAGCTACACTCAAACCTCTATCTGTCTCTCCCCCTGCCACTCACGCAGATTTCTTGGGTCAGCTGTCGTCCAGTTTTGATTATCATATATATCATTTTAACCTTGAGGCCCGTTGTCAGAAAAAAATTGTCTTAACATTAGTCTGAATTTTTTTAGCTCAGCTGACGAAGTCAGATGCAGCTTGTAGAATTGCATCCGTCCGTTCGTCTGTCCGTCCGTCCGTCAACAGTTGGGCACAAATCTTAACCGCTTGACGTACGGTCTTGATATTCGGGACGTCGGGGGGATCGCGAAAAGGACTCGGGATGTCGAATTTGGGGGTCAAGGGTCAAAGGTCAAGATGTGTCAATGGTGAGGGAATATTTTCCCCTTAACTTGAGGTATAGGAGGAAATACGGAATTGCGGCACAAATCTCAACGGTTCACCTACGCTCTTAATATTCGACGTGTAGTGTGATGGGGAGGAAACCCATCGCCAGCGCGAAATTGGAGGTCACAGGTCAAAGGGCAGTGGGGGAAAAGTCAGATATCAGACATTTTCTGAGGACATGGTCTAACGGACCGAGTGCAAAACTTTTTTCAGGGCTGACCTACCGTTTTTATCACTTTATTGAAAGGACCATGAAATCTACTTTCTGCTGACGTGCGAAGAGTAAGTGTCTGATAACCTTTTGACCTTTTGACCAAAGAGGAGGGTTAAACATGGATTTGTTGACTGTTAACAAAGGACTGAACTGCTTTTGCTATTAGAGCCCTCTCCGCCAGCCCCTCCCCCCACCCTCCCCCTCCCCTCCACCCTCCCTCCACTCTCCCCTACCACCACCACTACGCTCGTGCTCAACGCATATCCATGATAACATGTTAATATAGCGAAGTCATTAAAGTTACACAGCTGTATCTTTGTTACTGTACTACCAGTAGGTATAGCAAAGCCTATCATAGATTTTAGATCTGTATTAGTAGTATCCTAGATATATGCTCTGAGCGCGAACGCGGTGGCAGGAGGGCGCACTTGCTTTGGTTGCCAGTGAGTTTATCAGAAGAATACCTGGCTACAGTACACGTCAGTTGAGCGCCGTCGCTCTGCGGCACTTGTTTTGTTCATAGACTGTTGGCAGAATCATGATAACAACACAAATTTCTCATACGCAGTGTATAGCAATCCGGCGAATGAGAAATAGTGAATGTTAAGACTAATGATCGTAAGACTAATTTTGTTTCTGACAATGGGCACCTGGTATCTGTGTGCTTGTCAGTGTATGTAGTTGCGAATTAGCGTGCATGCCTATGTGCACGTGTGTGCACATGTAACATGTGAGCGTGGATAAAAGAAATAGGATGAGTGTGGGATGAGGCAAGGCACAAATATATTCTACATTTGAGTCTATGTGCATAAAACGGAGTAGTATACTAACTTTCTAATTAGAAATAATGTTTGCATTGTTGAAACTAGAATGCTGTGCCCTGAGTTTTCTGTTGAATGCCATGGTGTATTCACTAACGTGGCTAAGTAGCTTGCTCTGCATGCATAGTTTATTATGACACTATCACTAACCATGCTTCCACATAACACAGCATGTTGCATCCTCTCTATTTCTATTGCTTAACCTCGATTCTCTTTTTAGTTGTTCAAGCAACACGGCTTTGAAGCACGGATCTGCACTGTCCCAATTGGGAAGCCTGCATGTGGTGACCTGTCACCTTAGAACGTGTACCTTAGTTGTGTAGCAATACTAAACTAATCAATAACCTGTAGAAAGAAATCAGACTATCACCTGGTTGTAACGTTCGGAAATTTTCCATAACACTGGGTGATGACAGCTGGACTGTAAGGTGCACTACTTATCAAGGATAGATTATAATTCTATCTACATGTGGCTAGATAGCAATAGTTGTAATTCTGTTGCACTGCACTTCCTAAATGTGTTATATACGGACAAACGTGCGTGCATCCACTTTCCTATCTGCAATTTTTTTATTATAAACTATAAATTGATCAGGTAAGTGCGTAAGGGCATTCTTGTTACACCAAGCAATGTTAGGTATCTCTATTGCATCAGTTTTGCAGTATTTCATTTGATAAAAAAGTTGAATGAATTTTTAGTCGGAGCTGTATATTCACGTCTAATACGAAGCAAAATACACCAACAGGGTCATCTTTCGACATCCTGTCTAGTTTTCTGCAGATGAATTATTAAGTTGCAACTGTGAAAAAAAATTAATGCACAAACAATTTCCAATTTCTCTTCATCATTAGTCGTGTCTAAAGCAAATATAAATAATATAAATATAATATAACATAATATATTATAATATAAATAAAGCAGAATTGTGCTTGACCCACACAACGATTTCACTAGTTGAAATGGAATTTTCACTAGTTTGAATGTGGAAGTCACTGATTACTGCTAGGTTATATTGGTATTCTTTGAGATAATAACATTAAGACCACGTTGCCTAGCTGAAAATATCAAATAAAGTAATCGAAAAACGAAAATGAGAAATTCAGAATAATAACAATTTTGTATAGAGGTTAGCTGTTCAATAGCCATTCTCTTGGTTTTGCATAAATAAATGTTTAGCTCTGAATTCTACTAATCATTGCACAAGGTGTTCATCCATTATGGAGTTCAGCAATAAATTTGCATTTTGATAGATTAACAATTCACATTTGTTTATTTTTATTTTGCCTGAATTTTATACCCTTTCTCTCTCTCTCTTTCTCGTTGTCTTTCTGTCTGTCTCTCCCTATCCCTTGCTTTCATGCAATTCATACCCTATATATCAAGTAAGGGAAAACTACTGTAACTTGAGTACATTGTTGATTTGTTGTACGTCTGCTGGCAATGTCAAGTTGCATGTTTGTGTTTTAGGTTCGTTAATAGAGGCGGATGAGGACTCCGAGGCTAACGATGCTGCAAAGACTGGCGCGACAGTGCAGTAGACTAGTAAGCTTCTTCTGTTTTATCCCGCCGTGGATTCCCTTGTAGCAGTGGTATATATCGCTCTGCCTGTCGATCACTTCTATCGCAGCTCTAGTACTCTGACCTAGATTACGATGTCAGCACAAAATTAGCGCGACTCCAGAGTCAAATACTCTCTGATTTACTGTCGAACTCCCTGATTTGACATATGCAGGAGCTTCTTTGTTTCTGTCATTCCGTATTGGAATTTGATCTCTTCCTTCATATTTGGAAAATTGCAAATTTGCAACTTTTTCCACTGCAATCTGCAGTGTTGATCTATCGATTTGATCCACTTCCCTCTCCGTCTTCGTTATAGTCCCTAGGACTTTTGAAGACTAATATGTATGAGGTTATGAGGTTATGCTGCAATAATAAGCTTGAATGGTTGGTAAAGCTGGTTTGCAGATACCCTCACTCAGTGCCTGCATGTTCTCCACCAAGCATATATGTCATATGTGCTACCATGCTCATGAAGACTAGAGTTGGATTTGGACCACATGGAGCATCTCAATAATAAACATAATGCTAAATAAACGCGAAATGTATTTACTACCAGTCTTAATGTTTCTCTACTCTCTTTCGCCTATTATTGCCGATAATTTCCTATAATTATATGTAAGTGTAAATGTGCAGTGGCGTGAGTGTGGTGTACCTGTGTGTTGCAGATGAGCATTTGAATGGCATTTACAGGAAATTATCGGCAATAATAGGCAAAGGAAAGTAAAGAAACATTAAGACTGGTAGTAAATACATTTCGTGTTTATTTATCTTCCCCGGCCAACAGCATCTGCAAGTAAATGTTTGCACGCAGGACCAACCAACTGTAGCTGGATACGTTTTATATATACTCGACTTTTATTGTGAAACCTATACACCAAACTTTTCTATTTTCAATTTGTCCAGGTAGATGCACTGCAAATTGTGATTTTGTGATTTAAAAACATTTAAAGGGCGAATAAAAAAATAAAAAAAGGTAGACCACTGACGCGGGCATGTTTCCTAATTGTGTCAGTTCATTATTGGATTGACTTGTTGTGGCAGATATGTCACTGTTTATCACTGTGCCAATATATATCACGTTCTACTGGGAGTGTATGACACTAATAAGGGCAGTCACCACAACCTAGGTGTACAAAACGTATATTGTTGTCACCGCACATAATCCAGCCATTTTACACAGTCGAATTTATGTATAGTATGGTTAAATAAATATATAAGGCTCTCGTTTTTAGCAGGATACGAGTTCTCTACAATGCTTGTGCTGTTAGATAGATCAATGTGCCCACGATGTGGTCCAGTTGATAATCGTGCACATGTAGTGTAATTCGATGCATTTGAAGCTGTTGTGGTTGACCAGTGGTCCAAAGTTGTTTATGTAAAGAATGTCAGTTTTAGCATTGGCTTAGACAGGTAGATGTATGTGTAATAGGAAACCAGGTGCGTAAATAGTGTGTTTATTATAGGTCGGTGGTGAGTTTTGAGCTGAAATACTTGTGTTACGTCGAGATGCGCGCTTAATAGTTGGCTACTAGTTGTAATATATATATATATTTGTTCTGCCCTTACTGCATTTTTAGACCATTCATGAAATGAGAAGTTAATTAATCATTTTTGTCGTATAACAGAAATGAAGGTTTTCGTAGTTTTTACTAACAAGCGCAAAATTTCGTTTTCCCGCGTATTTTTGACGCGTTATTCCCCACCGCAGCTTGCTCCCACGCTCACGTCCTCCTTCCACGGAGTTTTCGCTCGCTGTTGCTGTTTCCTACGCGCCTCCGTGACGAATGTTGCGCGCAGTATGCTTTTTATATTCCATTTTTAGCGTTTGTGTCGGTGAGCTGACTTGGATGGGTTGGACAAACCAATCATCAGCGTTGATTTCTATTTTGTGACATGGATTTGTGCATATGAATTGATGATGATGTATGTATGTATGATACGGCTATGTGTTGCATGCTAATATTGTGTGCGCAAATATTGGTACCTAATCGCGTGCGTATGGTGAGATTTGCAAAATCTTTCTGAAGTTGGCTAGTGTCTACTCTACGTGCCTGTGAGAGGTGCAGTTTCGCACTGAAATAATGGATAGAAGGTGAGGCTGAGGAATTAATGATCACATATATATATTGAATATGTACCTGTAATATTGCTAAAATGTTATTTACATCTTTTATATGGGACTATTTTGATCTACATAATCAATGTGTATGGCATTTTGATGTGTATGATGTATTTTAATCACTTGATGTACTTATTTTGACGAGCCATGGCCTCTAGTGTGGGGCAAGGGACAGATGTCTACTTAATGTATTGTAGCACAAAATTAAATGTGCCTAAAATGTCATAATTATTCAGGCAAATTCCTTCAGCCTCACTCTATCGTATGTGTGAAACTCGTCTTCACACGTGGATTCGTGTGTAGCGATAAATGTGCAGGAAAACCTTTTATCGACTTGCAACAGAGTGTATATGTTGAACTTTGCAACCAAGCATATGCACACACAACGTTAGCATATAGCAGCTATGCGCAAGGTGCGCTTAGCACATGCAATCAGCGTCTTTAATGTAACAGAGATCCTCACAATAAATTTTAGAATGCGGCATGAACGCGAGTATGAGGGCAGCCACTGCCAACACTGCTAGTAATTGTACATATTACCCAGTGCTAGTGTTGCTCATTTGTGTCCGTAAATTCACTTGATGTGTGAGCCTCGTACGTAACTGTAATTTATTCTAACGCAGGCTCTGTGCGGTCAGTGGCTTAAAGAAGCTGTGTACTCGTATAGCATCGTTAGTCCGGCACAGTAATGTCATATAGTCTGTGAGGTTTGTAGACTCCAGATAGCTAGCATCCATATAAATCACGAACAACCGAATTAGTTTTACAATCAGTTTATAGTCGGGACGCATTTTGCACATGTCCCATCATGCCAATTTCTTCACGCCATAAAACTGGTAGTAAAGTAAGTAAAATGCTGACAGATAATAAATTTGTGACCTATAAGTGTTGCTAGGTGATCCAGCAACCTGTAATGTGTTACATCGCACTGAAATAATTGACTATATTTTTAGATATCTATATAGTCTAATATGTTTTCATGTTGGTACAGACTTTGGTGTGAATTAATGATCGTGAATACATTTTGCTTTAATCAGACCTCGAAGACACATAGGAGCTTATTTGTGTACCATAGTTTGTAAATTAAAATTTTGCTCTAGAATCCTGATGGCATGAATTTTTGATAGCCAATGCTCATATCTAGAAGTTTACAATTGTTTAATGGTGACTGCCAAAGTTTAAAATCATGACTGTTGGTGCCAAGATGAAAATCATGACGAGTGAGTAATCTGGTTGTTAACTATTCGCGGGTCACATTTTTTGGAAAACCTATTTCTACAATAAATAGAAGTATAACCTAGCTATGTTATTATTATGGTATAATAAAACATCACACTTATTTTATTTTAACAATAATCTGATAAAAATCACAACTTGTATTAAAGTATAAAGTTATCAATACTAGACTCTTGATATATATACTCTATAACATTATATATCAATAGGCTTATTCATGCTACATACCAACCTCCCCATAACTGAGAAAATAAATGAAACGTGGGGCCTGATGTGAGAAACGAAACTAGTCTCAAAACAATAGTCTTAATATTCAACTTATTTCTCATAGACCATCAACAGAAACATGCTAAAGTTTCTCATACACAGTGTACGTATAGCGGGTTCGGTCTACAAGAAAAAGTAAGTGAGAAGTAAAGGTGAAGACCAATATATGTTGAGACTAATTTTGTTTCTGACAATGGACCCATTAATTATCTCATCAAATTACAAGTGCCCAGTATTACAGAATATACAGCAGTCGCCACATTTTGAAATAACTGCAAACTTCTATAATTAGCACTGAACAGCAAAAACTGGTATGTAGTATAATTAAAACATTTTAACTTCGTTAATAGTTTAATAGTGTTCCAGTTTAAAATCAAGTGATCACCTATATAAATCTCATATAATTATTATGATAACAACTGCAATCAATTATGATTATTAGTAGGGTATGTCAGGTAAAAGCAATCTAAAGTAGAGATGGTTATATCATTGCAGATATATAGGCAGATCTATTTATCGTGACGTGACGTGACATGGCGATGGTGCTTGCAATACAATGTTTACTGAGGTGTGCACTCCCAAAGAAACGGATAATTCTCCGTATCTCTAAGTCTTATTTATCGATAAAGTTCAAGAATAATTATTTTGAATTCATGCCAATATATATATACTTCTTATTGAATAAATAAGAATGTACGTCAAGCAGTAATTAATCAAAGAATCTCAACGAAAATGAAACCAGGAATGTTGGTAGCAGCAGTTACAAGCCCGCCACACGTACACGACTGCATTACATCTGACCTCCTGGCAACAAAGATTGTTGTATTATGTTTGGCTTTAGGAAGAGTCCTGTAAGGGTAATGTACATTTTCTTTTCTACACCACACCTTTCTGAACTTAGGATCTGTTATCAGATTTATCAGAACTAGTTATGACTACCATGTGTCCAAAATGTCGTGACTTTCGCACGACACTGTCGTTCAAAGTCACGACACGTTAGACTTGTAATGTCATACCACTTGTGATGTTTCTGACCTTGAATTTTCTCACTGGCTCATCACATTTTGTTTATATCATCACAGTTTCTAAACCTCCCAGGTGTTGTCTGTACTACCCACACAGCCCTGGTCTGCTGCAGTCTCCCTGCTGTTTCCCACCTATTTTCCTGTGTAGTATCTGTGCGAAACAAACGGCATCTTTGTGACTACAGCCTCAAATGACTTCTTTCTGACTTCGAACCTCAACTTGGTTCCCTTGGTGGCAAGCGCAGTAGGAACATAGCCCATTGACACATTCTGGGACTTGAGACATGGAGCGGGACAACCACTAGTCACCTCTCCTACCTTCTGCCCATCTTCACCCAGAATCGCTGTGCCACCTGCAAGGGGAAGCAACATAATAACATACTATTAATGTTTCATGATATATCATGTAGGCAAACCCAACTATTCTAAATAATGTAATAGTGCTGTTTTTGTATGGGTTTAGTTAACAAGCAGCAGGAGCAGTCCCTTCGCAGCCAATTATATTCCTTCATATAAAATAATATAGTTGGTAAGCTGAGGTAAAGAGAACGGGCTGACTAAGGTTACAGCAAATATCTTACGGACATTATTTTCAGTCTTAATTACATTTGCGTTTTTGTCTGAAATTTTCTTCCGTTCCTATCTCCGTTTCCTTAACCCGAGGCCATGCAGCTGCTTTTACAGTATATACTACAGCGGGGTGGTTAGTTCACTGGTAGCACTGCGAGTTAACTTTCCACGCTCTATCTCTATTTGTTGAGTGCTAAGCAGAGAAGCAGTTGTGTACCATTTTTCAAGTCTTTGGTATGACCCGGCCGTTTGTCTGTTATAACCAAAATTAAATGCTGCCCTGCATCAGATACAACACTCACAGAGATAGGAAACTGACCTCGACTCATTAACAGCTATTTACCTGCACAAGTCACCATATAAGTCTGCATCCAACTCACTGTAGAACAGAAACCACACAGCAAGTTTAACACAAAGGACACTCACCTCTCGCGGGAGGTCCTGCTGAGAGGAACCCAACTCGCCTCCTCTGTGGCTTCTCCTTCAGCTGCTTTAGGATGATTCCTGCTCCGGGGAAGTCGGCAAGCTGCCTCCTCCTCTTTCCTGTCACAACATTACAGTAATTATGTAAGCAACAGGGACTTGTGGAACAACTACAGGCATGGGCACTTTGCCTTACTTTCACACACCTATGTACAGTTAAACCTCGATTATCCGAACGAGACGGGCGGGGAGTATTTTGTTCGGATAACTGATTGTTCGGATAACCGGTGCTCTAGTGTCTTATTAAATATTCACGGGACCTTAAGATCTTGTTCGGATAACCGAGGTTTGACTGTAACTGTATCAATACTGGGTATATACATGTCCTGGACATTATAAAATGTCCTGCTCGTATTTTAAAATGGCATTTGTCAGGTGTGGAACATCCTGGATAATAGGCTATCATTCTATCAGGAGTGAATAATAATAGATTCTAATAATAATAATAATAATAATAATAGATCTGTTATTATTCACTCCTGAGTCTATATAGCTCTAATAGGTCCTTGAAATTGTGCTAAGTCTATCTTCACAACTGCTGTCTGATGGGTGATATAAATTGTTATATACCAAACTTGAATAATCATTAACAGCACGACACGAGGCACAAAGATTTTATTCGGCCAACATCTCGCAGACATGGAAAATGATCCTTTCAAATTCGGAAAAACTCCTGGAACACTTATGAAAAATATTTTTTTGCCAAATGTGTATGAATATTGAATCACCATGTCACCTGAACAGCAGTAATTATATATCACCATGTGACCTTTAACTCGTTTGGCCAGCTTAAGTAAAGTATTGATCGTCTAGAAATTGTCAACAAATTAAACCAGGTAACTGTGTATACTTGAAAAATGCTGTCCCTGTACTGTGGTACCGTGTAATTTTGCATAAATCTAGGTCAATATGCCTGTTCTAGCCATAAATTTCCTTCAGTTCTCGAGTGAACTTAAAAAGCCTATAAACATTACCGATGGTCCATGCTAGAGATGCCTCTATGGGTGTGGTGTCCTCATCAATGTCATTCCCATATAGACATAGTCCTGCCTCTAATCGCAAACTATCTCTGGCCCCCAAACCAGCCATACTGACATTGGGAGAGGAGAGAAGTCTTTCACAGATTTCCACTGCCTTGTTTGCCGGCACCGACATCTGAGGAAGACCGACAGAAATAAGTGCACTTAATAAATATGCACGGCCTAGTCTAGTCTATTCATGGAGCTATTCATGGCGGTGTAACACCTACTCACCCCAGTCTCATCCACACAAACAATGACTTATACAGAACCTACTGTCAGGGACTTTGTATTAACTCACTCTACAAACAGCAATTCTCCTAGATCATGAGTCAGCATGCTTTTTTTTAGACAGAGGCAGAGAAAGCTGTGACCTTCAGGTAGCGGACCAAAAGTTTTAAACATGAAAAAAACAACTGTAAAAATCTCGTTTTTCTAAAAGTATTCATTCAATAGTAATTACTACAAATTAAAAAAAAATCATATAATCAGTCATATTTAAAAAAAGATTATCTTATTTATATTGTTTAATTAAAAATATCATCAATTACTAATGAGAGGTTTTTATAAGCATCTATTTATTATTAATTTGTTGAAGGCAAATAGCAGGCCGGACAGATTGGGTTGGCAGGCTGGACCACGCGGGTGGGCCATACGTTGCTGACCCCTGTCCTAAATGCTGGCTGTCTACTCTCCAATGTTTAAAGCCTACACTTACAGCCACCTATTTCAACTTGGTTTTATATCACGTGCCGAATTAGGCAAGCACATACTTCAAACATCCCCCCTTTGATTACAATACAGGGTTTCTTCGGAGGGAAAATTAGACAAAGGAGGTAATGGCCAATTTGGGGAAAAAATGCGCATGATGGATTCAAAGGAACGCATGCGGATGCTGCATACAGGAAAAACAGGGTAAAAGCATACAGGGTAAATACAGGATCATTTTCACAACGGCGATGTTAAATTTGACAACGGCGGTGCGCCACTGTGCCTCTTATGTAAAAGAAACCCTGCAATACATATCTAACAGGTTTGAACAGCTGCTCCCCCCTACGCACCTCGACGCCGTCCTCGCCCGTGTATCCGCAGCGGGTCACCCTGCAGTCGGGCACGCCGAACACGCTCGTCACCACCGACATCATGAAGGTCAGAGTTGAGAGGTCACCGTCGACGGCCGCCTGCAGAACGCTAATCACCTCGGGTCCCTGCACGGCAACGAGGGCTCTGTCCTCGATCAGCTCCACCGCGGCGTCGCCCCCGGCCGCTCGGAAGCCAGCGACCGACTCCATCATGTGCTTGAGGTCCTTCTCGGCGCACCCAGCGTTGGAGACGACGTACAGGTAGCCGTCCACCGTGTTCGTCACTATCAGGTCGTCCTTGATGCCGCCTTGTTGGATATTGGTAATTCAGGATACGTTAGCTTTAGGAGACAACCATCAGCGCCACCTACGTAAAGCTATGTAAACTATGGAGAATAAAGAACATGGACGTCACTTGTTTACATGTTCGTTTGTGTCAGTTTTTGAAGCATCGTTTGTTGGTGGAACCCACTACATGTGCGGACAAATACCCTACACGCCTACAACACGAAGTAGGGATCCAACTCAGGCTTACTCAGCGCCCGTCACGATACTATTAGATGCTGATTCTATACGATACTATTCGATACATGAGTATTGTAGCCAACTGGGAAGGTTCTATGAATCGAAACCAAAACTACTTGGCAGTGATCAGTGTGTTTGTTTGGCTTTTTGAATAAACGAGTTTTGTTCTATTAAATAATGTTGAGCTGGTATCCTGAACGCGACATGTTGTCTATTAATCTACCATTTCCATCCAGCAATCGTGCATTAACTACACATTCTATGACAGCACATACTGAATACAATTGAATGTTTTGTTTAAAATGCACAAATCTTGCCGCAGTCAACGAACTGTATTCATTGCGTTGATACGTACATGCATGCATACACGCGCTGATGTGGTGTCACGGTTAGCCGGTTCCCGTCGACCGGCATCGAAGCCACACAGCTAGGCTGTGCACCTGGCCAGCTGGCGGCACGCCGCGCGAGGCGGGCAGTACCGTGCGAGAGGGCAAGCGGGGAAGGATAGTAGAGCCGCGTAGCAAAGCGTGAGCGAAGCAGGCAGTACAGTAGAGCCACGCAGCAGCCGTGCGTGAGAAAGGACGTGTGTCGTCCAGCCGTGCGTGAGAGAGGACGTGTGTCGTCCCGCCGTGCGTGAGAGAGGACGCTGTATCGTCCCAGCCGTGCGTGAGAGAGGACGAGTGTCGTCCCAGCCGTGCGTGAGAAAGGACGTGTGTCGTCCCAGCCGTGCGTGAGAGAGGACGTGTATCGTCCAGCGTGCCGTCTGAGAAGAAGTAGACGAAGCCGAGGAAGAAGAAGAAGAAGAAGAAGAAGAAGAAGAAGAAGCAGAAGAGGAAGACGGAGTAGGAGAAGAAGTAGACGAAGCAGAAGAAGAGGAAGAAGAATAAGAAGAAGAAGAAGAGGGAGAAGGAGAAGAAGAGGAAGGAGACGAGAGGGAGCGCCGTGCACACATATGTTAAGTTGATTGTTATCGTGTGTACTAGTTGTACCCGACTTGTCATTACATATATGTTAAGTTGATTGTTATCGTGTGTAATAGTTGTACCCGACTTGTCATTGCGTATATATGTATGTGCACGCGAGTATTGAGTTCGTTTTATCATTATAATTTTTTGTAACAGTACGCGTAGCGGTGTGCGCGCGCTGAGCGCATAATTTTGTGACAATACATGCTAGCGCCTTGAAATCACCCCCATCGTTTCCCTGGTTTCTTTTGCGCGTGGCAGCGGCGCGGCGTGATCACACCAAAACGTGCATGCACAACTACACGTTGACATGTGGAAACACGGTTTTATTTGTACCTTTGTCATTGGTGAACAGAGTTAGCATTCCTTGGTTATCTTTTAAACCTGCAATGTCTCCCACTACCTGAAAATTAAAAGAAGGATCAGTACCATTGCCTAGTGTCCAAAAATTACATGTTCAGTTCAACAATGCACCTCAAAGACTCTTTCCATGACCATACGTGTTTGACTTTAAAAGAAGATGGGCAAACGATACTTCGTACAATTCTTGTGACGTTCAGACAGATTATTTGCACATGCAGGAATGACGTCGTTTTGTTCAAGGCCACCTACCAGACTCTCGATGAACTTTACCCTATCTTTACCGTGGATTTTCGTCTGCACCATGTGACTCACGTCAAAGATACCCGCATGCTCCCGGACATGGAGGTGGGAGGCGGCCACTCCATCATTGTACTGTACTGGCATGGACCATCCTACAAAAACGCAAGACAAAATTCATCAGGCTATCATGATGTCATACGGTATTATCATGGCTATGCTCTCTATATATTATTAGCTAGCTATTACTAGTGGAAAGGTAAATGTCAGTTAACTAGTGGCTGGGAAGGAAAAACGACATTGACCACGCGTTGTCCGGAATAAAGTGACCACCGAGATTTAGAAGTGGGTCATGGGAAAAAGAGTATGGCCCATTAAGAATCTTTTCAAATAGCTATTAATGTCCACTTTGATAAAACATCTCACCAAAAAAATGACTGCCCATTTCAAGAAGAACTGTTATGGCGTTATTTATGTGGTATTATGGCAATCAATAACATTTATTTTTTATTTCACCTGCAAATGGCACCATTTTTGCTCCTTTTGATACATGGAAGTCATATAGAAATGTTCGTTTTATATCGGCCTACAATATAAACAAATACTCGGTTTTATACAACTTATTCAAAAGCCTAATATGTATACCTCGTTTGCGCTGTTAACAAATATTATAATAAATGACACATTGCATCATTTAAAAGCATACATTACAACCTTACTACAAAATTAATATTAGGTTATCCTATTTCAGTGCCGGGTACTAATAAACAAGTGCTGCAGAGCGACAGCGCTCAACTGACGTGTACTGTAGCCGACTATTCTTCTGATAAACTCAATGGCAACCGAATCAATGCGCCCTCCCGCCACCGCGTTGATAGGCTTTGCTATACCGGTAGTACAGTAACAAAGATATAGCTGTGTAGCTTTAATGACTTCGCTATATTAACGTTATTGGTGGTGGTGGTGGGGAAGGGTGGGGGTGGAGGGTGGGGGGAGGGTCGGGGTAGGGTGGGTGAAGGGGGCTCTAATAGCAAAAGCAGTTCAGTCCTTTGTTAACAGTCAACAAATCAATGTTTAACCCTCCTGTTGAGGGTCAAAAGATTATCAGACACTTACTCTTCGCACGTCAGTGGAAAGCACATTTCCTAGTCCTTTCAATAAAGCCATAAAAATGGTAAGTCACCACTGAAACAAAAAAGTTTTCCAATCGCTCCGTCAGACCATGTCCTCAGAAAATGTCTCAAATCTGCCCTGTGCCTCCATTGACCTTTGACCTGTGACCTCCAATTTCGGCACAGTGATGGCTTTTCCTACCATGATGCTATACAACGACTATCACGAGCCTAGGTCGAGCCGTTTAGATTTGTGCCGCAATTCTGCATTTCCTCCCTATACCTTAAGTTAAGGAGGGAATGTTCCCCTTGCTTTTACACCTCTTCACCTTTGACCTTTGACCCCCAGCTTCGACATCCCAACTCGTTTTCGGATTAATCCTCGCGCCCCGATTATCGTGACCGTACGTCGAGCGGTTAAGATTTGTGGCCAACTGTTGACGCAAGAACGCACGGACGCACGCTCATGCGATTCTACAAGCTGCATCTGACTATGTCAGATGAGCTAAAAACTGAATTGGAAATCGTATCTTCACTTATAAGCAGTTGTTTAGAATTAAAATCACAACTTCTGAAGCTGGTGTAACGTCTCAATAAAAAAAATTAATGGTAAATAAACACGAAATGTACCAAAGTCTTAATGTTTCTCTACTCTATTTTGCCTATAATCACCTGTAAATGCCGGTCTAATGCTCATCTGCAACACACAAGTACACCGCACGCCCGCCCTGTGCTGCGTGCACAAACAACATGAATAAGAGAGCAGGTAGGAAAGCAGGATTAAAAAATTCGTTCGACGCTCGCTTCATTTCACACGATCACAGAACGAAAACACATCTAACAGCTCCCATCTTGGTATCTATGTGTACATAAATGTTCACTTGTTCGAATTATAACTCTGGCCTTTTTTCTAACCTACTCCCGCCAAAGATAGCTCGTGAAATCCTGCAGGAAACGTTCTTTCCGTGAAAATGTAAAGAGGACGAGATGTCTGTTTATACACGAGTAACGGGGCGCATTGCATGCCGGGATGCATGAGCTGCTGCCGGCCTCCGAGCTCCGTTTCGAGGCCCACCAGACCAAGCACAATGCGCGCGGGTATGACGTCATGCACACACGACTACAGCGATCGAGACATATTTTTCCTACTCGCACTAGTATTTCCATGGGATCACAATGTTCTTTATAAGCCGGTTGCAATGTACAAATATGGGGTAAATTTTTAGGTTCAGTTGAAGATCAAAAATGTGTATATTAACACTAACAGTAACAGCAGTGAAACCTGCCAACAACCCCAGTTTTAATAATGTAGACTAGACGTAACGCGGCCATGATCCCGAGGCGCTCGCCGAGGATTGACACTATGTGTCTTCCAATCACAGTCTACGCCGCCCCCTTATATACTAACTTTCAGCTATAATACCTATTGCGGCACGGAATCGCCGATCTCACGAACTAGGGCATTCTGCTAGGCTAGAACGGTTTCCTACGATAGAGTTTGGCACAAAAACGAAAATAACACGCTGTTTTGCGCACAGTGCTAAGTTCTTTTCTTTCATTTTCGCATATCTGTAGGCACGATAAGCCCCGCCTTATTTGTTGATTGGCATGAATGGGGCGTCAACGACGTGAGCTGACTCCTGTACCTACTGCAAGCCCGTTGACTTTTCGTAAATAATGAAATGCCCGGCCGATGCATTTCGCATCGAAGAGAAAAAATTTCTGCATTTTCACTCGCTGTCGCAAGTCAACGAGCGCGTCATTCAGTAAACATTTTCGGCAAAAAATCTCGCTTCGGGAGCCAATGTTTACATGTCACAGCGCCATCTCTTGGATCATTTTGGATATCCTGCAACATGTTTACTTCTTCCTTAGTTAAGTTAGTCCATGTTTCACTGTTATTTAGGAAGAAAGGTAAAATTGTGTATTCGCATAATTTCACTCTTGCTTCTATAGTATGATTTCCACAATTTTGCTCTTTTGCCCATAATAATTATTTCATTTAATAATAATTTCATAATAATTAATACATTTTTCAGTTCGGACTCGCTATCATAGCGTTATAACCTCCTATATTAAATCCCCTAGGTATGAATATTTGGTGAATTTTTTGATTACTTGGTTGCCTATTAATCACCTCGATCCTTTCTTTGTTTGTGAATTTTATATAACTATTATATTTGTTTTGTTCATATATTAAATTCTAATCTTTTTGATTCAGCTAATCTGGGGCTAAACCGACCAGGCTCTCCGACTGTTACACGTCGTATGAACAGTAGCCAATGTAGTGTTAAGCTAGAAGAAGAAGAAGAAGAAGAAGAAGCAGAAGAGGAAGACGGAGTAGGAGAAGAAGTAGACGAAGCAGAAGAAGAGGAAGAAGAAGAAGAAGAAGAAGAAGAGGAAGAAGGAGAAGAAGAGGAAGGAGACGAGAGGGAGCGCCGTGCACATATATGTTAAGTTGATTGTTATCGTGTGTACTAGTTGTACCCGACTTGTCATTACATATATGTTAAGTTGATTGTTATCGTGTGTACTAGTTGTACCCGACTTGTCATTACATATATGTTAAGTTGATTGTTACCGTGTGTAATAGTTGTACCCGACTTGTCATTACATATATGTTAAGTTGATTGTTATCGTGTGTAATAGTTGTACCCGACTTGTCATTGCGTATATATGTATGTGCGCGCGAGTATTGAGTTCGTTTTATCATTATAATTTTTGTAACAGTACGCGTAGCGGTGTGCGCGCGCTGAGCGTATAATTTTGTGACAATACATGCTAGCGCCTTGAAATCACCCCCATCGTTTCCCTGGTTTCTTTTGCGCGTGGCAGCGGCGCGGCGTGATCACACAAAAACGTGCATGCACAACTACACGTTGACATGTGGAAACACGGTTTTATTTGTACCTTTGTCATTGGTGAACAGAGTTAGCATTCCTTGGTTATCTTTTAAACCTGCAATGTCTCCCACTACCTGAAAATTAAAAGAAGGATCAGTACCATTGCCTAGTGTCCAAAAATTACATGTTCAGTTCAACAATGCACCTCAAAGACTCTTTCCATGACCATACGTGTTTGACTTTAAAAGAAGATGGGCAAACGATACTTCGTACAATTCTTGTGACGTTCAGACAGATTATTTGCACATGCAGGAATGACGTCGTTTTGTTCAAGGCCACCTACCAGACTCTCGATGAACTTTACCCTATCTTTACCGTGGATTTTCGTCTGCACCATGTGACTCACGTCAAAGATACCCGCATGCTCCCGGACATGGAGGTGGGAGGCGGCCACTCCATCATTGTACTGTACTGGCATGGACCATCCTACAAAAACGCAAGACAAAATTCATCAGGCTATCATGATGTCATACGGTATTATCATGGCTATGCTCTCTATATATTATTAGCTAGCTATTACTAGTGGAAAGGTAAATGTCAGTTAACTAGTGGCTGGGAAGGAAAAACGACATTGACCACGCGTTGTCCGGAATAAAGTGACCACCGAGATTTAGAAGTGGGTCATGGGAAAAAGAGTATGGCCCATTAAGAATCTTTTCAAATAGCTATTAATGTCCACTTTGATAAAACATCTCACCAAAAAAATGACTGCCCATTTCAAGAAGAACTGTTATGGCGTTATTTATGTGGTATTATGGCAATCAATAACATTTATTTTTTATTTCACCTGCAAATGGCACCATTTTTGCTCCTTTTGATACATGGAAGTCATATAGAAATGTTCGTTTTATATCGGCCTACAATATAAACAAATACTCGGTTTTATACAACTTATTCAAAAGCCTAATATGTATACCTCGTTTGCGCTGTTAACAAATATTATAATAAATGACACATTGCATCATTTAAAAGCATACATTACAACCTTACTACAAAATTAATATTAGGTTATCCTATTTCAGTGCCGGGTACTAATAAACAAGTGCTGCAGAGCGACAGCGCTCAACTGACGTGTACTGTAGCCGACTATTCTTCTGATAAACTCAATGGCAACCGAATCAATGCGCCCTCCCGCCACCGCGTTGATAGGCTTTGCTATACCGGTAGTACAGTAACAAAGATATAGCTGTGTAGCTTTAATGACTT